GGAAACACAAGAGGCCACGAATAGCCAAGGCAATACTCAGTCAAAAGAACAATGCAGGAGGTATCACAATACCTGACTTCAAACTATATTACAAAGCAATAACAATAAAAACAGCATGGTACTGGCACAAAAACAGACATGAAGACCAGTGGAACAGAATAGAGGATCCAGATATGAAGCCACACAACTATAACAACTTATCTTTGACAAAGGAGCTAAAAATATACGATGGAGAAATAGCAGCCTCTTCAACAAAAACTGCTGGGAAAACTGGTTAGCAGTCTGCAAAAAACTGAAACTAGATCCATGTATATCACCCTATACCAAGATTAACTCAAAATGGATCAAGGATCTTAATATCAGACCCCAAACTCTTAAGTTGATACAAGAAAGAGTAGGAAATACTCTGGAGTTAGTAGGTATAGGTAAGAACTTTCTCAATGAAACCCCAGCAGCACAGCAACTAAGAGATAGCATAGATAAATGGGACCTCATAAAACTAAAAAGCTTCTGTTCATCAAAAGAAATGGTCTCTAAACTGAAGAGAACACCCACAGAGTGGGAGAAAATATTTGCCAACTATACATCAGACAAAGGACTGATAACCAGAATATACAGGGAACTTAAAAAACTAAATTCTCCCAAAACTAATGAACCAATAAAGAAATGGGCAGTGAACTAAACAGAACTTTCTCAAAAGAAGAAATTCAAATGGCCAGAAAACACATGAAAAAATGCTCACCATCTCTAGCAATAAAGGAAATGCAAATTAAAACCACACTAAGATTCCACCTCACCCCTGTTAGAATAGCCATCATCAGCAACACCACCAACAACAGGTGTTGGCGAGGATGCGGGGAAAAAGGAACCCTCTTACACTGTTGGTGGGAATGTAGACTAGTACAACCACTCTGGAAAAAAATTTGGAGGCTACTTAAAAAGCTGGACATCGATCTACCATTTGATCCAGCAATACCACTCTTGGGGATATACCCAAAAGACTGTTACTCCAGAGGCACCTGCACATCCATGTTTATTGCGGCACTATTCACAATAGCCAAGTTATGGAAACAGCCAAGATGCCCACCACTGACGAATGGATTAAGAAAATGTGGTATCTATACACAATGGAATTTTATGCAGCCATGAAGAAGAACGAAATGTTATCATTCGCTGGTAAATGGATGGAATTGGAGAACATCATTCTGAGTGAGGTTAGCCTGGCTCAAAAGACCAAAAATCGTATGTTCTCCCTCATATGTGGACATTAGATCAAGGGCAAACACAACAAGGGGATTGGACTATGAGCACATGATAAAAGCGAGAGCACACAAGGGAGGGGTGAGGATAGGTAAGACACCTAAAAAACTAGCTAGCATTTGTTGCCCTTAACGCAGAGAAACTAAAGCAGATACCTTAAAGCAACTGAGGCCAATAGGAAAAGGGGAACAGGTACTAGAGAAAAGGTTAGATCAAAAAGAATTAACCTAGAAGGTAACACCCACGCACAGGAAATCAATGTGAGTCAATGCCCTGTATAGCTATCCTTATCTCAACCAGCAAAAACTCTTGTTCCTTCCTATTATTGCTTATACTCTCTCTACAACAAGATTAGAAATAAGGGCAAAATAGTTTCTGCTGGGTATTGGGGGGGGAGAGGGAGGGATCGGAGTGGGTGGTAAGGGAGGGGGTGGGGGCAGGGGGGAGAAATGAACCAATCCTTGTATGCACATATAATAATAAAAGAAAAATGAAAAAAAAAAAAAAAGAAATGGCCATGTATGTATGCTTCCATAGATTCTTCCTGAGAAAACTGGTAAACTCTACCCAGGAAATTGACCCCATCTTCTATTCTCTAGCCCCTGTCTCTAGCCTCAGCTCCTATCTCCCTACATTATACAAGAGGCTGGGGGCTCAGAAATGAGGCCCAAAAGTTCCCAACCCCTTTTGCTCAAGATGGAAAATTCAGGTCAACACTGTTGTAGGTTCTCTGAACCATGAATGCTATAGCATGAAGCTTATGGAGACTTCATGTCAAATCTCAAACTATGCCACTTTTTCTGGATAAAAGTAGATACAATTTAAGACAAAAATGAAAAAAAAAATCAAGGCAGTTAATGATTCTGCCTCCTAATATTTAAATTAATGGTTCCCAATTCTGCACATCAGAATCTCTGCAGAGCTTTTTAAAAGTCCTAGTGCTTATCCCCTTTACCATACCAAAATCTCTGGCCATAGAGCCCAGAATAACACTTTTCCGGAATTTCTCAGGAGATTCTGATGCACATTAACACTTAGAATTGCTGATGTAGGGCAGCTAATATTTTTATACAACTGAATTCGGCAATCAAATTCTGTCTCTATCTCTAGAACCAACCTAATCTTTCAGTGTCTCAGTTTTCTCATCAGCAAACTAAGGCCATCGTTTTTTATCTAACAATAGGAAGACTAAATGAACTATTACAGATAAGTGCTTAATCCAGTAACTGATATATAGTAAAACTTCCATAAGTGTTAGCTACTAATAATAAGATAGGAAGTTTAGTTTATGTCTCTAATTATCCTTTAGAAATAATTTATCACATAGTTTTCTTCAAACAAGGTAGGCGTCTATACATTTTCTGCTTCCTCCAGAATACTCAAGAAAATACTTTATTTTTGCCATCTGTGCTTAATATGCTACTTCGCAGACACCATCACCTCAATATTTCTTGGTAATTTGATAGTTAATAGTTCTGTCTGCAAAAAAGCTGAGTGAATCTATCAAACTAGGCACCAAAATCCATTAGCTTCTATCTGTCTATAATATAACTACTCTATTTCACAAAGTGATTAGCTCAAGAAAAAAGCCAATCAGAAAATTCCGTAAGTCTTCTCAGAAACATCATTTTCATATTTTGAAAGAAAAATATAAGATTTATATGTATGAAGTCTTATGTGCATACTACTTGGGCATGTTTGAGAACTCTGAATTCTCCTATTTTGGCTAAGCAATTCCATCACAGTTATCCATTCATTTACAGATTAGTGGCATGTCAGAAGGATTCCATGTATGTCACAAGGCAAAAACAAATCTTTTATAACCCTGCTGTAACTGAGCCTATTAGTATTATCAAATTTACAGTTTCTACATTGGGTATAGGTTACTGAATACTGAAAGGAAGAAAGGAAACAAACTAAATGGCTCTGGGTCATGTGACTTAAGATAATTGGTCTGTATTTATCAAGTTAACCCACACATTTTAGCAAAAGAGCATGCTTTTAAGAAGATGGGTCAAACTGTACCATAAGAATTAAATAGTCCACTTGTTATTAATTTGATGTCAAAGATTTAGAAAAAGGATTAGGTGACACAGATATAAATAACATCAGTCACCTGGCAGCTTTTCAACACACACCTGGGGCACAACCCTAGACCCACTGGGTTTGGAGTATTCTTAGTACAACCCTTGTCCATCCTGACATTTAGAAAAAAGAAAATTATAGCTCAGAGAGGTGAATTTTGTCACCCAAAGCCACCTGTTAAGTGAAAGGGGAGTGGAGGTAAGAAAATTTTTAAAGGGGGCGGGGCATATATGGACCAATAATTACAGGGCATCTTGATAAAAGATAAGTTCACCCCTTGTCACTACAGTCCTAACCCTAGTCCATCATGTCATTTAAGGTGAAGTCTAGCAGGCAGAACTCACCCACCCAGAGTCAAATAAAACCCCAAATGGCATAACCAAGAATAAGACTTGTATATACAACCCCTTAAATCTTTGCTTTCCAGAAATGCTGGCAATCCTGAGAAGTGGTCAGTGTCCTCACTTAGATGGACTACTGCAACAGGAATTTTTAATAATAAGAGAAAATATAGAGACTATCCTTAGGCACTCAAAGATTCAGAGCAGCCCCAAATACAGTTTTTTTTTTTTTTCTTTGCTGTACTTGTTCCAAAAGAAGTAAAGGAAATGAAAAGAGAACTCATACCCCGTCCATCCTGGACTGGGCAACTCCAGTGAGGTGCAGCAGCTGTGAGAGAGTCCATGTTATCTATCATTGCTTTCAAAGCAATGGCCTATGTTGCTATGTATTTGTCAGACAAATAAAAGAAGAGAAGTTACTCACCCAAATTTATACTTTTAAGTTGAGTTCTGACTGAATATCTTTTGAATTCTAATGCAGTGTAATTATGCAAACAATTAGGCAAATCCCTCCAGCAAGCAACTGCTAATGCACACGAATTAAACTTATTTATTTATTGGTAGTAGGATTTCAGCCACATCCAAAGAATACTTCAGAGGGTGATAGGAAGGAAAGGAAGGGAAACGAAACACAGCCAGCATTACTAATGAAATTTGGTTGAAAATTGCTGTAATCCATTTTCTGATGAAGTGGTTCAGATGCATTTTACCCAACCCAAAATACATAAGACAGAGATAAAAACATTCTTTAATAATAATGTACTTCTGATGAGATAGAATATAGAAAATTACACACTTGGTAAATTCATCAGCTAGAAGCAATCAGCGGAGCACTGGAGGTCACCTTCCACACGCCCTCACTTTGCTTTCACAAATAATCACCTGAAATGCAAGGCTGGAGGCTGACTTTTTCATTGGATTCAAACAGAAAACATTCATTGCCCTTGTGTGTCACACAAGGTTAGTTTTAAACTTGGATAGCATTTTAACCAAATTCAGAGACATTTGGGAAGTCCAGTTCACACAGTTACTATGGGACCATTTTTCCCTGGCAAAAATGCACAGGTGCTCAAATACACACAAACACACACACAAATGCCCCTTTTACAACCAAAATAACCTTTGCCTCAGGGCAGATATCTACACAATTATATTCCAGGATTCTGAGACCTAAAAAAGAGCAGGTTCCTCCTCATCAGAGCAGATAGGGTACTAGAGAGCTAAGAGGGTAGAAGCCACTCTTTGGAAAATCAAGTTGAAATTTAAAAAAAAAAAAAAAGCTCAAGTAAAATTCCTTCATGTGAAAAGGCTCACCTTTGTTGCCAAAGCTTCAGCACTTTCTCGACAAGTCTTCTCTATTTCGAGATGGTTCTGCATGAAATTAACTTCCTCTATAACCATGTGAGAAACTAGGAATGAGGGGAAAAAAAGAATGTCAGCATTTGAAGATTAGTCAGCTATTCCAGAAGCCCACACATCGCCCCATGACGAAGAATACACCAATTCTTTCTTCAGCCAGACCCTTAGCCATCACAGGGAAAAAAGTTTTCAGAAGCTATCCTGATTAAATCTCAGCTAATATTCAAATGTAGAAAGAAAAAAGGACACAACAAAAAACCTTCATGACTACTACATACATTTTAAGGAAGCTGTTTAAAAAATTTTGGAAGTGGCTGTTTTCTATGTAGCTGTTTACACATCCACAACATATATGCTAATTTAAATAAAAAGAATCTTCCATAAAGAAAGAGTAGCAATATGCCTTCCTTTTCTTAGTAGAATATAACACATGAATCTAATAAGAAAAATTAGCTAAGAAATAATAGATAAATAAATCTTAAATTGATTTTATGATGGAAATAGCAATGTGGCAACTTAGCTAAAAGTATCTTTAATAGTGGCAAACTAGTTACTGTTATTTCATACACTGCAGGGCAGAAAAGACTAACACCAAGATTTATGCACTATGAGGTGATAAAAACAGATACTAGTAACATTTCTTATATAGTAAGCTGTCAGTAGGATTAGAAGAAAAATTAAATTTTCTTTGCTATTTTACCAACATGTGAAAAATTAATTTTTAAACTTTTTGGCAGCAGGTTCACATAAATTGAGATTTAAAGAGTCAAAGTAATTTAGAACTTGAATTACATTTTGAAGATCGTGTTTAAAAAATGCCAGTCCAGCCCCTCCCCCCCCGCCATGTATCTATTAAAAAAAATTCTCAGAATCTCAAACCTAACTGTAGACATGCACACTTATTGGCATTTGTTGGCTTTAAAAAAAAAAAAAAAATTAAAGGACACCCAAATGTGAAATCCAACAAAGTTAGGGAAAAAGCACAGGGCTTATACAATACAAAGGGAAATTACTTTTGCTTCATTTACGCTTAATTAACCTGCAATTATGATTAAACTCGGGGGAAAAATTTCTCTCCAAATTAAATACAAAAAATGTATTACTTCCTAAGTCTGTCCAAAGTTCTTATTATGTTAATATTCAAATTCATAAAGCAGCACTAAATGGCCAGAAACATCTCTAACCTTGACATTTTTTCCGGGGTAATAATAATCTATCACAAATGCAGGCCAACCACAAACCACTTAACTAATTAGTAGTTGCAGTCACCGAGAAAAACACGAATCAACACTGTTATTACAAGTGGCACATTTGAGTGGCATCTAATTACGACTTGATGAGTACGATCCTTGCATTATCAACATTACTACCGCATCCCATCAGGGCCTAAAAGCTGCTGATGACATTGACTTCGAGAAACTCCCACTCAATGGTACAGCAGCACCCAACAATTGGCTTGGCAGGGGCCCCCCTCACTAAATGACACGTTAAGCGTAATTACTGGTAGACATTGTAAATAAACAGGATTGGAAGTGAAAATTGTACCAAGTGCATAAGACACAATCTGACACATTGGAAGTGGCAGCCTTAATTGAGAGTTTCTTTGACTGCTCAAGATCATTTCAACTGCATTTCTCAGAGGACAGTGATTATAACTGTGGAGACAGACGGCATAATGGTATCAGCACTGCTGACGGAGCAGTGAATTAAATTGTATCTGCTGTGGAGTGAAAGCCTTGATGAGAGGTACAGATGCCTTAGCCGTCTTATCATTATAACACAATGGTCATGTTGTCATCAACCTTTCTGGCTCCAATTGAAAAGAAATGATTGTGTGTTGAAGCTCCCCCCCACGCCACCCCCCCCTTGTCCTCTTCTATCTCTTGTTCTGAATAGAACCAATTTTCAGAGAGCTATGAAATCACGCAATAGGTCCTAAAATGCAGCTGCTTGGCATACAAACGGGTCCCCATTAAACTGGAATCACACACAATATGTGTTTATGCCAGAAGAACAAATAGAAGCTGAACACAGGCCAAGTTTATTCACACACACAAAGCCCATGTAGCTCTTCATCAATATAATTGCCTTTTATATTGTAGTTTAAATAATAGGCTCTATTATTTCCTTAAAATCCTAATATTCCTGGCATTTTATCACTATGTTTACAAGGTAGGTTCTTCAAAAATGTGAAGGAAAGAGAAAAGAAACCTATACAATTTTTACAACATCAAATATTACTTTGAATTTTTAGCCTTAACTACTTGACATCTTCTGCCACAATCTGGTATTTCTACTCTCATAACAAAAACATAAACACTCTGCATTTTTCACAGGAATTTGACTTTTTATTCAATAACATTCGTGCTCATGAAAGAGTAAGAAAAATCATTCCATGGTAGTGAGGTGTAGGCCTAGCAAAAAGGAAAAGGGGGGAAAAATGAAACATTTATTTTCTTAACATTTTGTAAAATGCTACCCTGTGATTTAACTTGATAAACTTGGCTAAGTAAAACTCACCTACATTTTCTCTGATTTCTCTAATTCTAATGTAGTATACTTCATCAGGTAGGGTTTTTATTTCTTTCCCAAAAGGGAAATAATTGAAATTTCTAAATTGTGCATTAATTTTTAGTTTAAGAAAAATTATCCCAATGCTGCCAGGCATGGAGGCTCCCACTTATAATTCCAGCACTAAGGAGGCTGAGGCAGGAAGACTGTGAATTCAAGGCCAGCCTGGGCTACATAGTAATCCTTGTCTAAAAGAAAAGGTAGGAAGGAAGGAAGAAGGGGAGGGAGGAAGGGAGAGAAGGAGGGAGGGAGAAATTATCCCAATGCTAAATTGGTAACAAAGAAACCTACCTACTTACCAACTTTCAGAAGGGAAGAATGCATTTCAGAGTCCATCATGTCTTTAAAAATAAGACCCCATTTCCAAACCCGAAGGTCACATCACATGATATAAAATGAAAATATTTCTGAAGTACAAATATATTTGTACCTTTCTAAGAATAAAAGTTTAAAAAATTACTTTTGACTGCTCATTTAATGATTGACCTAATGGTCCCAAATTTGGGCTTATTTCATAATAACTCTGACCCATGGTGACTATACCTATGACACTGCACTTTTGGATGACATGAGGTTTAAAAAAGAAAATGAATTTTAAGTAAAAGGACTATAATAGTGTAGTTGCACATTTTAAAAAAAAACAATCTTTTAGAAATTCATGCTGAAATATTTATAGTCAGGAAATATTAAAATGACACAATGACTGGTATCAGTTTCAAAGTAGAAGTCAGAAGCCAGTGAGAGTGGCTCCAGGATGATAACATTAAAGCTGGATGATGGTGATACATGAAGGTTCATTTAACTGCTTTCTCACTTTTGAATATTCTTGAGAATTTTCATAATGCAAAATTTTAAGAGCTGAGAACTCAAAAAAGTATAACCTAAAAGCACATCAACTGTTGCTTCCATCAGTATAATTGAATTAGCAAAGTCTGTCCTACCATCTACACGACTGAAACGCTGCAACTGAAGTACACACCACATTGCAGGGTAAATGACTTTGCTTCTCTTTTTTGAAAACTTGTCTTTGTCTTCTACTAAGTGTGATCCTTGAAGCAGGGATTTTGTCATGCACATCTGGTTCTCTTGCATCTAGAACACTATGTACAAAGTAGGTACTCGTGTTTGTCTGAATGACTGAAAATACCATACACCTAAGTTTGTTTGTGAACACCCTTTTACAAGAATGTTCTCTGTGTTCAGCCTCATGCTAAGCCCCTCACGTGTGTTCCCCACCATTTCTCACAGTCATCCTACAAAGAAGGTGTTATCATAGCAATTTTGCATCTGAGAACACTGAGGCCCAAAGATGTAAAATACCACTCCAAATCACAGAGCTCTACCTGATAAATCCCAGCCAAATGCATTTCTAAAACACTCCAACTTTCCACCACCCCTTCTAACTCTAGTTAAAGGCATTAAGGTAAGGACATAGCTTCCTGAGCAAGACTTCCCCCCAAACTCCAGCTCTCGGCCATAGGGAGATGCAGGGAGTCTCTGATGCACACACAGTAAACGTAACACAAATTCCCTGTGAATATTAAACAGCTTAGAAAAGTTCTCGTGTGGGAAGAAAACAGTCAGGAAGTTGGCACATATGTAGGAAAATTGGTGTCGCCGAAATCAGAACACAGTATCTAACACTGTGGCCTCAAATACATGAAAGGGCTTTATTGACTTCTCTTTTCACAGGAATCTGTCCTTCTAGGCACATGGCTTTGCTCTGTGGTGGTGTTCTTTGTGTGGAAAGAGTAGGAGGCAGACTCAGAGGGATCTGGCAGAGGGCCAAGAATGCCATGAACTATGGGTAGAGACATAGCTACCATAGGAAAAGCATAGTAAACCAGGGAGAGAAGAGCCCTAGGGTCTGACAGAGCTCTTCCTGAGCTTATTTAGCTGCTCTTGAGAGCTTGGCCAGGTAGATAAGCATCACAGGGATTTCAGATTTCAACTCTGCCCAAAAGAAACTTTTCCCCAGAGCTATACATACACGCAGGCTCCCATGTAGGGTGACGGTCTGAACAGGAAGTACTACATATCTACACACAGGGTGGTTTAGTAGATGAGATGGCGGCAGCAGCTAAAACTGACTGAGCAGTTACTATATGCCAGGCACAGTGTTAAGTGCTATTTCTGTGGATTATCTCAAAGTCTACAAAACAGGGTAATACATCCCAATTTTCCTAGTGAAGAAGCTTGCTCAGGGCTACATGACTTCACACCAAGAGCTCTCCACTGGCAATATTCCCTTCCAGATTTCAAATTCTACCCTCTGTTCTAAAGTCATGAAGCATTTATGTCAGATACAGTTTTTAAAAAAAATGTTTAAAAGTTTTCTTATCCCCCATATTCATTCATTCTTTCTTTCTCTCTCTCTCTCCCTCCCCATCTCTTCTCTCTTCTCTGTTTTTGAGGCCGAGAGAATTAGTACCTGTTTTCCTGCTACTGCAACTTTACATTAAAACATTAATAAAGATAAAAATTTAATGTATGCAGCAATAGTCTGTTGTGCTAACCTTTCAATTAATGCTTTCAGGTCTTAATCTGAGTTGCTGATAGGGAATAAAAATGTAATTTTTTTCAACTATCAAAGGTATTTAGAGGAAAAGACAAAAGGAAAAGGGAAATGGGAGATGAAAGTGGAGTTTACATGGTATTCAAAAGGTTGATGTCCAGGAAAGTTACAATGCAGGAGGCAAAATCCCTACTATCTACCTTGATCAAAACATTTTAAGATAAACCCAACCATAGGAAAGTTGAACTATCCCCACCGCACACAGTACACCCATCCACTATCAATAATTCAAGTACATGAAGTGGTAACAACGACAATGGGATCATTCTTTCAGAGGTGGTCAATGCCAGCACAGGTGTAAGCAGATTTCATCAACCCTGCATTAGGGAAGGAGAAAGCCCCATGCAATTGCAATTCACACATTCACAATTAAGGGGTATTTCTATCACAATACACTAGCTTCCCAAGACAGGTAATATTGAAAGATTACCCTTAGATTTTCTTTATTAGAGACAGATGCTGAAATACACTGGCTACTGGAATTTAACTATAATGCCGCACTTATTTTATAGCTGTTTTACCTTCCAAAAGAGTAAAATGTTCCATTGTATAGTTACCAAGTCTATACTTTATGATATAATCAAGTAGCTTGACTGATACAAAATCTGTAGAATGACAGGGAAAGAAAAGCCTTGACCTCAAGGGAAGAGGTCATTTTTCCTGCTATGGCCTGGATCTTTGCCCACCTGTGTTCTATCTTAGGGGATAAACAGCAGATCTCTGTCATACAAAACATAACCTTCCAAAGTTTCCTCCCACCCTGCTTACTTATGTTCATTATTATATATATATATATATATATATATATATTTTTTTTTTTTTGCAGTGCTGGGGATCAAACTCAGGGCCTCACACATGCTCAGTAAATGCTGTACCACTCAGCCACATCCTCAACCCCTATTTATTTATTGATTGATTGATTTAGAAAATTTAACATAAGATCTACCCTCTTAGTACATTTTTATGTATTTAATATGGTATTGTTATCTATAGCCCCAAAGTTGTATAGCAGAAGAACTCCAGTGTAATTACTTTTCTATGAATTAACCGAAGAAACTAATCAAATCACTATAAAGCTGTGTGTATAAGAGTACTCTCCATGGCGTTATTCAGAGTAGTTAAAAAACAAAAATAACCTACTGATGAAGGAATAAACAAATTATGGAATATTATAGCTGACCATTAAAACTGATGTACAACTCTGCTGACAAACAAACATGTCAATATACTATGTGCTAGAACAAAAAGGGCTACAAAACTGAAGGCAAAATATGCATTTTTTTGTATAAATGTATATTAGACAAATGAAAGATCAGGAAGGACAGACTACAAAATATTATGATCGGCTTTTCTCAAGGAATCAAGGTAACAAAGTAATTTTATTCTCCTTTGATTTTTTTGCATAGAAAATATTCTTATAACAACTTCAAGCTTTAATAATAATATCCTCATAAAACAATAATGCTTATTCCATCTCTTTAAAATCACAAATGCCAGGGCATTTTTTGAACAAATAGGAAGGCAATTTTTGTGTTCTTGATTGTATGATCAATGCATCAGCAACTAAACCAAGTATCAACATAACCCCAAAAGTTATGTTTATAGTAATTCCACTGAAATGCTTACATACTTTTCTGAAACTCTTCCAGTTTTTTAACAGCTTCATCTCGTTCTTGCCTAATTTTGTCACACTGAAATGAGAAAAAAGAAAACATTAAAGTTTGTATCATAAATTTTAAGTCTCGAAAGGTGAACAGTAAGAGTAAACTTATAAACAGCAGCAATTTTTTTTTCTCTAAAACAGAACATCTTTCAAAAGCATCAGTGAAACATGGTGTGTGCATTAGTCAGCTAGCATGGTGAGTGTACAATTTATATCTGGCTAATTTTCTCAGACCTTCTAAGATAATGAGTCACTCTACTCTCATTATCTCTTCAGCGACAGACCAATTGGCCATCCCGAGTTAAAAAGGGTTTTGGGTGGTTTTCTGTTTGTTTGTTTGTTTGTTTTAGGTTGTTTGGAAGGGGGGGTTGGGTCCTTTTTTTCAGTATTGGGGATTGTGAGCCATGCCCCGGTCCTTTCACTTTTGTATTTTGTTTCTGAGGCGGCGTCTTGCTAACTTTGCCCTAGCTGTCCTGGAACTCATGATTCTCCTGCCTCTGCCTCCCAAGTAACTAGAACTACAGGCATGTACCACCATGCCTGACTTGTACTCATTTTTTAAGAAAATGTGCATGCCTCTTTTTAAGAAGGCTAACGCATTCTTAACACCCTGCTCATGTGCAAGTCAGGTTCCCAACAGTTTCAACCATCCAGAACACTGGGGCCATCTTGGAAGCTAATGGAAAGATGACTGAATGAGGTAAAATGCTGACGGATACCCAAGCCCTCTCTCACCCAAGAGAAAATGATCCAGTGTCTTCAGAATTTTGCATAGAAAAAGGGAGGAAATTAAAAGGACAGAAGAGAAAATACTCTACCACGAGCATGTTTTATTTACATAAACTGATTTATTTTATTCAAAAAGGTGGGAGGACTCATTGAAAAGACTTTTGGCAAGAAAGACCATAAAAGGAAAAAATAACTATTAAAACATGAACACCTTTTAGGGTATCTGGTATGGAAGAAACAAGTATCTCATGTTTCAACAGATCCTAAAGGCATTAATGATTCTTTTTTAAAAACACAAACGTTCATTAGGAAGACTGAACTCAATTTACCTTGAATTTCATAAAATATGGAAGGTATAATACATTATAAAGATATTTCTATCAGAAGTATCTAAAACTTTAAAAAGTGATTTTTAACTATTAGGGTATTAATTACAAACTGAATTTCCTGGGAGTACCTAGTTCCCTACAAGAACCATATAAATAAAATACAACCCTAAGTTATATTTGATTTCTAACATGCCATATACATGTATCAGGATTTCCTCTTGCTGGATATTTTCTTTTTCGTTCTTTTTTTCGTTTTATTTATTTACTTATTTTTTTTTTTGCAGTGTTGGGATCAAATCCACGGTCTTCCACATGCTAGGCAAGTGCTCTAACACTGAGCTATATATTCCCAGCTTTGTTGGGTGTTTTTAATTTCAAATTTCAAAGACCAAAAAATTATGATGCCCCTAGTAACTTGAAAAATCCAAATTAAAACAGTGAAATAGTTTTATCTATTAGACTGGCAAAAACTGAAAAAGTCTGATACTAAAATCTGGCACTCACATTCTGCTGTTGCATGTATAAACTGGTATAACTACTCTGTAAATAAACTTCTATCAAAATTGAAAATACAAAAAAAAAATTGAAAATACAAGCCCGCTGTGATTCAGCGATTCTACTTCCAGGTATTACACCAGAAAATCTCTAATAGTGTGTACGAAGTGATCTAGACAAAAATGTTTAGCATTTATAAAAACAGTAAGGCAGGGCATATTCATATAATACACTACAGCAGTGGAAATGAGTGAATTATATCTATATATATAGCAACACAACTGAGCCTCAAAAACCGTAATGTTGATTAAAAGGAGTAGCAGAATCTATACCTTAAGCACACAAAAATTTTTCAGATGTTTGTATTATACAATAGGCCCACCTGATTTGTGGATTTATATTACACACAATTTTGATCAAGAATGATCAAAAAATAAATATTTAAAATCAAAAGAACTTTCAAAAAAAATTTTTTTTAATTCCCACACATGCTTTACACAGCTCAGTGGTTAAGAAGCTCTCAGTCAGCCCCATGGTATCCTGTTACAATTGTTTTATAATCCACTGAGGGTTTCCCTGCCCTAGATTGTGCAAAAATTTGCCTCCCCAAAAGCAAATAGTGCCCCCAAAGTAAGGAAAAAGTGAATGTGCTTAACTTAAATGAGAAAATGAAAATTTGGTATTTGTTGAAAGGTTCTATGTCTTTAGCGGAAGTTGGGTGGTGTTTTGGGGGAAAATGGATCAAGCATCTGCAGTACAGCACCAACTCTGCACCCCGAGCATGTGTGATTTTTCTCAGTCTCCTTAGAACCAGCCACCCATGAACCAAGGGTCTATATATAGATATATTCAATATATATTGATGATTTACCTACAGCATTCTTTTTTTTAAGTTAATTCTGTGCAGTGGGTATTGGTTACATTATTTTCTGCTCTTTTCAGGGTTTTCAAAATACTTTAAAAACATAGAAGCAATCAATTCATTTTCCCGTTTAGTCCCTAATGAGCCACTGAAAGGTTAAGATGCCCATCTCTGTTCACAGGGCAACCCCATCCTGCAGGAGTGCATGAAGCAGCTACACAGGATTAAATCAGCAAAGCTGGCTACCAAATTCTGTCTTAGACACCCCACCACCACGCCAAATAAGTCAGGCTGGATGGACCAAAGATCATTTTCTACAGGAGAAGTCACCTTCTTTCAGTAAGGTTTCCTATGGAAATCTATTCTCTGTAAAAATAAAAGCAATTCTAACACAGTTTCTAGCTCTAATTTAACAGAAAAACATCACTTTCTGGTGTTTAAAATCTCTTTCACCAGCGTTCTGGATTCTCATATTAGCATCCCTCATCCCAGATGACAACTCCAGACAATACAACCTGTAACTCTGAGACTGCTGACCTGCTGTTTCACGAATGTTCCTGATGTTTACTAGAACTGACTCCTGTTTTGGACTTTCCCCAAACTCTGCCAGTCTGTCCATCCCACTTCCAACAATGCACAGTATAGTCTAAGGCACAAAATGAAACCTAGTTTCGGAGTAGACTCAAAGACCTGAGTCAGTATTGCCAAATGCAACACAGCTGGTGTTTTACTTTCTAATTAATTTTGTTTCCTCATCTGGCATTTCTTGAAGTATAAGATGCTCTGTAAAAACTGTCTTCCTCTAAGCATTGCTGCTTGAGAGCCGTGCTCTGACTTAATGTCACCTGTATCCCTCTGTGTACCTCTCAAAATTCCATTTGAAGGAATTAGAGGCTTATCCAGTCCTGCTTACATAGACAGTTTTCCCTGAGACTTTGCCTGACAACAGCATAAGCACAGATGGTGTTCCAACTAGGTGGACCAAAAAAAAAGGCCACCAATTGCCATCACCAATTACCAATGTAGCTCCCACTTACTGGTCAGTAGCAATGCCTAACCATCTTAAACAGGCCTGTACCAGCTGCTCAGAAGTGAGCCTTTCTATCCATCATCTCTGCTCTTAAGAACAGGTTCTGCTTAATAATTGGTTTGGTTCCAACATCAGTCTTAGTCCAACACATGGGTAACCAGTCTGTATTTAGTTCAGCTCATACCCACCCTCCAGTTACTACCAATAGATCCCCACACAAGCTGTCTCCCAATCCCAGCTGTGTTCTATCAGGGGTCTTCATGTTGCTTTGCTTTCTATTTTCTGCAACTATATTATGCTAGAACTGGCAGCCACCAAATTTACCATCTGCTATGCTGAAAGGGTGTGTGTTGGGGTGGGGGGATTTACACATGCTGCAAATGCAGCTTACTTATTCCAAACCAGAGCTGATCAAAATATGAAAGATGTAACCATTTACTAAGCAAGATTCCAAACAACCACTTATTTCATCATTTTACATAAATCCAAAAAACATATCTTGCAATCTTTCTCTCGTACCAACAGAGAGAAGCTAGCATGGATTATGGGTCTGTTTGGGAGAGCGTTTCATCTTTATTCCACACAGAAGGCCCTCACCCATCCCACCCTTTCCTCCACGCTGCTCACGCAGCTGCACCATCTGTAAAAACTGCTTCTTTTTGTGCTGAGAATTGCTCATGAAGTCTCTGCAATAGCAACAGATGTTCTTGGGCCCACGTCCCTCAACTATGACACCCATCGATTCTCTGCAGCTCAGCGCTGGGGTAGAACCCAGAAGCCAGTGTGCTGGTGAATTTAAACAAGCACAGGTACTCTAGAAACTCTATTTTGGCCCTTGATAAAGTGGTGAATTGACTGGAGGTTGACTTTTCTGGTTTTGAAAGCCCTTAATATCAGAAGCCCTGGCTATTTTCCAGATCACTTGAGCCTCATCTAGGCACATACCTGACTTCTAAAACCAAACCAGGATCTCAGAGCACTGGCAAGATGGCTGGCAAAGGAAAGCCCTTCCATGTGAACTAGCATCCTCCTTACCCGCCCCCTCCTAATGGGTGCCTTAGTTCTACCGTCAGCACTGCAATGTCCTCTTACCAGTGCCTAGCAGAAGTACAGATAATTGATGAAGATATGACGACAGCTTTATATTTTGTAGTGTGTCTAGTATACTCAAGAAACACCTCAACATTCTGAACTGTGTCTCACTTCCATTAATATAGACGCCCGTTTTTATCTTCCTGACACACAACTGTTGCCAGGCTCTAGAAGTGACATTTTGGGGACCAAGAAATACATACATTCACTGCCTATATATACCACCAGGAGAGGTGAGTGACAATCTAACCATAGGCAAATGTATACCCTACAGCTGACTGAAGTAGACTTCTGAGCACTGTACAACTCCACACAGCACAGCTACTTGCCAGGCACTGTGTTAAACACTGGGGTGGGGGAGATGGCGGGTATCATCAGGGACACTGTTCTCACAAACCTTACGACCCACCAAAAAAGAGTAACAATGAAACAAGCAATTTATGAGAACACTGATATAACGAAATACTGTGCTACTGTAGAAACATAGCAGA